TTTAATTTTTGCTCTCTTCTCTCTCTAGTTTTCTTTCACCCTCTAAGGGCTTGTAATATTTCTCCATCAAGATTACAAATTTTTTGCTTAGCTTATTTCTTCTCGTGGATGCTAGGGACTTGGATACTTCGTTTAAGGTTCATGATTTTATAAGTCTTTACTTATTTGATTTATTCTAGGGTTAAGATTGACACGTCCATGAGTCGATTATGCTATCATCCTCGTAGGCTAGGGATTATGTATATTATTATTGATTGCGTGAGCGAGAATTGATTGAGAAGTTAATTGATCACGAGTGACTTTCGCTTGGTTGCATATTCCCGAACCTATAAGTGCCTTCTTTCTATCTCGGGTCTAGGAGTACCTTGTTATTTTTCTCTTTATTTTCCTTTTTTTTTTTTGCAATTTGAGGACTTGCTTGCGATATAATTTGAATCTTGTTCTCGTTTAGTTTAAATTGCGTTCTTAGCTTAATCTAAACCCCAAATTACGAGTAGAGTGTTTAGGATTTTATTTTCTTTTCTTGTATGAGTCGATCGTTGTTTGAATCCGGTTCCAAATAGCCTTCCTTTGAGAATGACCCGAGTCAGGGTAACTCAATTACCAACTACCCAAAAATACTACAAACAGTGTCGGGTGTCTTTCAATGGATCTAGACATGCTTTTGTCCCTTTGCCTTTTGTGGTCGTCCCTCCGGGTATCTCAAAGGTTGTTCTTGACATGGATTCTTTGGCCATGACGTGCTGCTGGGCTCGGGACATCAGGTTTTTATAGGTGGCCAGATTGTTCTCATACAACAACCATTTGATCATTGAGTTTGACTTCAGACCCAAGTACGCCGACACCAGCAATTTCTCTTGGTGGCACGACTCCATGTTCTGAATCTTCCCATTAAAACGATTGGCATCAGCTTTCAAGCTCTCATCGACTCCTTGGACGATATTAACGATTAATTCCTTTGAGATCATACAGACCTAGGACGTCGGATGATAGTGGTGAAGCCGTGTCCACAACACGATCGGTGACGAACAACACATGAGGCAAAGATGCCATTTCTACATGTTTCTACTGAGCTTCGAGCTCGGTAAATCTCTTCTTGAGGATTGCGATCTCCTCAAAATCACGTCTAATTGACCGATCCCTAGGTATTTTTTGCCTGAGATATTGCTCAACCTCCTTATTTCCCAGTTAAGTGAAGATCGACGGGTTGGGGGATTTCTTCTTGTGCTTGGTGATCGATCTACTCTCTATTGCCTCATCAGTTTGAGCTTCTTTTCTCGTTGTAGCATGCGGAGATTGGGTTACAACCCTAGACTAGGCTATTCTCTTGTCCTTATCTCTGGTAAGGTTAGCGTCTTTATTCGCCGGGGTTTTGAGCAAGTCATTCAGCGGCAGCGGCGCGTAGGATCTGACGACAGGATATGTGTCATGAGGGTTGTCATGCCCTTGAAAAATTTTGGGTCTTGAAACATCGACTTGAAGTCGATGGCGGGAGCCGCCGTGCAATGTTGTTCCGTCGTCTGTGGTTGGGACTCGCCTTCATGGCTTGACGAGGACATCAATTTTTGCGGATTTGTGGTGGTGTTACTAGCTAAAGTTACTCCAAAACAGATGATAAAGCCCTCCTTCTAGCACCAATTGTTGCTATACAAAATTTGTAAGAACAGTTTAGAAAAATTCTCTAATTATGTTAAATAATGAATGAGGTCGGATGACCTAAATTTTGTATTGTAAACAACTCCGTTTCTTTATACATCTCAGGAGTTATTCTAGAGAGAGAGAGAGAGAGAGAGAGAGAGAGAGAGAGAGAGTCGAATATGCTGTTTGTACAACAAATGAGAGGTATTTATACTATGAGACTCATATGTAAAGTTCTCGACACCCGCACTTTGCCATTTAATGCGATTTGACGACGATGTGCTTCTCTGCATGATGGGTCCCTTGCCTGTTGATTACTATGTCAGTATGATGGACATCTGTCTTTTTCGCATTTAATGTGCTTGTCCGACATTAGCTCCCCAAGATCCTCGATCGGCTCCTTCATGATGAGGAAGACGAGCTCTTCGCGTCTTGCTTTATCACCGAGCTGCTTGCTTCGCTAATTTTCCTTCACGGTTATGGCCTGACCGTAAGGCGAGAAGGTCGGGTCCTTTGTCATAGGATAGTCGAGTGCTTGATAAAACTTCCTCCAACGCTGAGCTGTCTACCCCATCTATATTGTGGTCGTAGGCCGACCAAATAATGAAAAGATCAACTCTTTTGTTTTAATCTTGATTTCAAGCCGAGTCGTTGTCTGTATAATCGCTGAGTTGGACCGGTTTATTCGGTCAGCGATTAGGTCAGATGCTCGTTTAAATTCAGGCCACGTGTTAGTTGATTATGGGTCACAAGTTCGAATGTCGACAAATAAATTATTAAAAATTTTTTGCAAAAAAGTACACATAATGCTAAAAAGAAAAAATAAAAAAGAAGAAAAAAAAAACTACGAGTATGGATTTTTTTAGTAATAAAATTTTTTTTGCCAGAAAATTACACATACTATTTGTAACAACTTTAACCTAGATAGAATATAAAATAAAAATACAGTCCTACTAGTAGAATTACTATTGGTAGTGTGCGTATAAATATATATAAATCATATAGTACACCTTTAATTAATATATGAATCTTTCATATGATAGTAAAGTGAAACGCTAAACACCGCCCCCTTTTCGATTATTACCGCCCCCCAAAAGACTTTCTTACCCTCCACCTCATTTCTCTCTCTCTTCTACTCTCTTTCTCTCTCTCGTTTTTTGCTCGTTTGACGTCCGAAAAAATGTCGGGACCATCTAAACGCGGCGGCAAGGGGTTCTTCGTTCGATCGATACGTTTTTTTTTTTTT